AGGAGTGCGTGCCAAGGAGTGGCAAGTCTTATTTCTGTATGGTGGTTTCTTTAGTTCCATGGCAGCAGATGATAGAGTTGATGTAGATCTCTCAAGCAAGCTTGACGCAGGGAGACCAGAAGCCATGTGTGCGAGCACTATGCACGGAGTTGCATAGTGGTAACTTGTACAGACCGGTGGAAGTTGTCTTGGCAGAAGGGCTAACTGTCAAACATCAGTACGGACGTACAAGTGAGACTGAACCGAACATCAGGGATTGCAGCACAGACAACAAGCGTATGTGGAAACGCTAGGAGGTTGTTCAGAAGTGCAGAAGGGCAAAGGCTGGTTGTTCAGAAATAAGCTCCGAGCAAGGAAAATTGAGGATGTTGATGTGTCACACTCTGAAGTTTTCTAGTTGCTCCCGTGTTCATCATGCAAGGAGTTGCACGGTAATGCAAGGGTATCCCGAGCAGGGGGTGCAGGACATCCAATCAGGGGGTGTCAAGATATCTTGGTTGCGCAAGTTCAAGCATAGCAAGTGAAGATATCCGAGACAGGAAGCGTGGAAGAGATTTGTGGGAGATAGGAGCAGAGGCTCTCTCCAAATCAGAGAGTGATGTGAGTTGACTTGAGGATGTAGGATTCCCTCCTCCTCTTGTATCTCTGGTGTATTATCTCTAGCTTTCAGGGGATGCAATGTCTCAGTGAGGAGATGAAGATTCTGTTGGTCTTTTGGGCGTGACAAGATTAGCAGCAGTGTGTAGACTGGATCACCTCACATGAGTTGAGGGGGTGATTTGTTGGATCATCCCATGTGAGCTCCCATTGGAGAACCCACTTTCTCCACCCAATGGAAGTGGCTCTCCCACTCTACCAACCCCACTAGAGAGTGGAAGAGGGTAGGTGGTGACCAATGAGGCTCTCCCCCATTGGTGTATAAATAGAGGTTGAGGGGAGAGTTGAAATGAAGAGAGCAAACCGTGAGACAACAAAGAGAGTGAGAGATGTGAGGTGGAGAGACCGTCTCTCTCGGTGTGAGCGAGGGAGACGGGTGAGTATGTGAGTGAGGAGAGTGTGAGCTCCTCCTCTATTGTAATCTCTCTGTAATATCTCCATTGTTATAGTGATAATCGGCTACTCTCCCGTGGACGTAGGCATTGAGGCCGAACCACGTTAAATATTGTGTCTCCTTGAGTGTGGGTGTGTTTTTCTGCTTGCAATGATTTCTATAAGGTCTTGGGCGGGATCCCAGATCCCAACATACATGATGCATTTAGAGATGGAACAATGCGCCAGTCCCACCAAGCAGAAGAAATGGCAATTGACCTTGAAGACTCTTCTGCGATGGAGTTGGACAAAGAGAATGGAAAACCTAAGAAAAGGTTCCCCACTGTTTCTTTCTCATTTCTAATAGTTGTATTTTTGCCAGTGGTGTATTGATAGTCTTTGTTTCTTTTGGTTTGTTTTGGGCCAAATTGGTAGCCATTCAAATGGAGAACGGGCCAATGGTTATAATGTTGGTGAAAAAGAGCAGTGGCGTTTATCAACGCTGGGTTACGTGAAGGCCTTTTCAAGGCAGTATGCTTCTGAGGTAAGTGTAGTTTATGGTAGCTCTGCCTCACTTTCTTCTTGAATTTCTCCACAGTTTTGGTTCTAGCTCGTTTTAGCCATTCAATTCTTATGTAATCTTCTCTCTCGTTTTGGGACTCAGTTTCTACACAATTTGCATGTATGATTGGGTATATACATCTTTAGTGGGGCCTATATTTAAAAGACCAATTTGCCATTTTGAACAATTTACTAGCAAATAAAATGTAATGCATTGCCCTATTGACATTTCTGGAAACCTCCAAATTTACAGCTGCCTATGCAAGTTAAATTTAACGCTGGTTGACAAGAGTAGTGGTGTTGGATTTTATTTTTGCTCCAAAATTAGAATGGCTTTGTTGCTGGTGAAACAAAAATTGAACTTTATGAGATTTGTTCCGGAAATTTCCTCTACTTCATGCCCATGCCCAGACAGATCCTAAATTTCTTTAGAATGAGAGTAATTGCACCTGATTCCTGATTTGAACCTTTTTAGTCCTTTTTCTTTTAATCGGTTTATAATGTTTTTGACAGATACGGCCCCATATTGAGAAGCTCGATGCAGAGGTATTCACAGAGAATGTGCACCCTCTTTTCCGCAAGGCTGTCTATTCTGGGCTGAATCGACCTTTGAATGACTTGGGATCTGGTCAATAGTTTTGGTGACATTTTCTTCTCTTGACATGAGGTGTTTTGATAGTTGATGTAAAATGAGCAGAAAGAATTGATATTGGGATGGTTAAGTTTGTACTGACTGAGGATAGCTGTATCTGTTAAATTTGTAGAATAACTGGGGATATTAGAAGTTTGAGCAGTGGGATGGTAGTAATTTAGGACTTTATTTTTTTAAAAGAATTCACCTATTTTAAGACACGTTTCATCCCAATCCTGATAATAAACAATGCTTTGTGGGTATCTATTAGCATTTACCTTTTTCTTTTCTTTTTTTGGGTGAGTACTCAATCATGGTTTTCACCTCGGGGTCAAGTGTATGTTCATGGTTAAGTTCTATGTGGTTTTTAGTTTTCTCTTCAATTCATAAATACAAAAAATTAAAGCTTTTAATGAAAATAGAAAATTGTGATTTATGCAAAACATAGGGAAAAAATGACTATATATGGGTTAATTGAAGAAATTAGTTGTGTTAAATTTTTAAAAATTAAGGAGCTCACAAGGGACAAAAAAATTATTGGTTTATTCAAGAACGTTACATCATGGTTTTCACCTCGCGGTCAAGTGTATGTTCATGGTTAAGTTCTATGTGATTTTTAGTTTTCTCTTCAATTCATAAATACAAAAAATTAAAGCTTTTAATGAAAATAGAAAATTGTGATTTATGCAAAACATAGGGAAAAAATGACTATATATGGGTTAATTGAAGAAATTAGTTGTGTTAATTTTTTAAAAATTAAGGAGCTCACAAGTGTCAAAAAATTATTGGTTTATTCAAGAACGTTACATGGTTATGTCTTCACAATTCACCATGTCTTTTTTAGGTTCCTTAATTACTCTATATAAATTTGTTGGCTTCACTCCTCCACTAATCACCACTATTGGAATATATTCGACCATAATAATAATATTGTTATTGAGCAGATATTTATTGCACTAGTACTGTTAGCATTCAAATTTAAGATAATTTGCAAATATATTTTCTAAAATTTGATTAAAATATGAATCGTTTCCGGTAAGTTTTGAAAATTACATTCCACTTTTTGAGATTTTTAATTTCATAAAAAATTATTCTTTTTATTAATAAATTATCAAGTCAATTAACAATTTTTAATGATATTAGAAATATGTTTCTATTAATAATTTAGGTAATTTTATTATTGTATAGAAGAGTAATTATGAATTTTATTTTTTCAATTGATTTTATTAAATAAAAAATTCTAACAAGAGGGTATTCATAATTTTTTAAATTGCAAGAGGTACTGTAATCTATACTTTAAACAAACTTTAGAAGTATATTTATGATTTATCCTAAAGTTTAAAGTTAATTATATTTTACTTTAAAAAGTTATTATTGAATATTATTTTATTTTAAATTTAAAAATATATATATATTTGAACCCACAATTATAAAAATTAGAGGAAATCATAGTTGAGGGAATAAAAAAAAAATATTAACATACTTTATTTACACACCACTATAAACATCCTTATACTCTCATGAGTATGTAATTTTTTTCTCTCCTCCTACATGTAGTTCCTCCTAAAACTACTCTCCAGTCTCATGTCTCACAAGAATATATTTGTACAACATAATATATTTTATATAATTGAAGAATTTAAGTACTACATGATTTTAAAATTAAAAGAGGTAAAATGATATTTGATGGTAATGAACTTATAGAGGGGGTGTTTGGGATGGTAATGAACTTATAGAGGGGGTGTTTGGGAACTATGGGTAGAGCCTATTTTAACCTCAAAGTGAAAAATAGCCTTTTAGCCTAAAAAAAAAATCAACCTACCCCATTGATTAAAAAAAAAAAAACAAAATAGCAACCGGCAGTGTGGGTATATTTGTAATTATAGCCTAGTCCCAATTGAGTAAATGACAATTTTATCTTTTTAGATTAATTTTGAAAAAAATGAAATTATGGACAAATTTGTCATTTCACTTTAAATATCATTTCAAACATATTTTTCAATACAACAATTCAAATAAAAATCTAATCCAACTTTTCAAACATAAAAATTAAAATAATTTATTAAAATAGTCAAAAAAAACTTTTAAAATAGTCGCTTATCAAACACAACAGAATATATAGGTCTATTTCGAAAGAGTAATTAAAAAGTTAATTTTTTAAATTTTTAAAAGAAAATATATATGTAAGCAATATAAAAAATGATGTAATTTAAAATAAATTAAAAGTTGATTTTGACTACTAATCCACTCTCAAAAGAGCCATGATAACATGAATTGGAAGCGATGCAGTAGTGTAGGGTTTCGCAACTAACGGCTCAAAAAAAAGACAATAGAGAGCGGTACGTACTTGAATTGGTCTTCATTCAGAGAGAGGAAATTCATAAATAAACCTCGGAACTCAAAAATATGGAGGATGAAGAAGAAACCCTAATCGATGAGAATTTCCCATTATTTTCCCGGAAAATCAAACCCCCTAAACAACCACCCGCCAAGAACCTGAACCCTAACCCCCTACAGCTCCTCGAAAGAGAAAGAGAAACAAATGCCAACGCTAACCCTAAGCATAATCATCTCTCTTTCGGCGACCTGGGCCTTGCCGAATGGGCAGTAGAAACCTGCAAAGAACTGGGGATGAAGAAACCCACCCCTGTCCAACACCACTGCATTCCCCGAATTCTCTCCGGCCAGGACGTCTTAGGTCTTGCCCAGACCGGCAGTGGCAAAACTGCCGCCTTTGCACTTCCCATACTCCACCGCCTCGCCCAGGATCCTTATGGAGTCTTTGCACTGGTCGTCACGCCCACCCGCGAGCTCGCCTACCAGCTGGCCGACCAGTTTAGGGCTCTAGGTTCCTGCTTGAACTTGCGATGCGCCGTCGTGGTTGGTGGGATGGACATGATTAACCAGGCTCAGACCCTGATGCAACGCCCTCATGTCGTAATTGCCACTCCCGGGAGGATTAAGGTTCTTATTCAGCAGAATCCTGATATTTCTGCTGTCTTCTCTAAAACCAAGGTTAATTACCTTACTCTGTTTTTTTCTCTTCATCTTCAATCCAATCTGTACTCTTTTTTTCGAGTGAAAAATTGATTGCTTTTTGATATATATGGAACAAACATTCTAATCCTTCCTTTTTCTATACCCTTGATTTGTTAACCAATGTATACCATGAACTCATATTTAACCATTCATTGTTTTAGTTCCTAGTGCTGGATGAAGCAGATAGAGTTCTGGATGTTGGCTTCGAAGAGGAATTGAGAGTGGTGTTTCAGTGCTTGCCTAAAAATCGGCAAACTTTGTTATTTTCTGCAACGATGACGAGCGACCTACAAACACTACTTGAGCTTTCTGCAAACAAGGCATACTTCTATGAGGCATATGAGGGCTTCAAGACAGTTGAATCTCTCAAGCAGCAGTACATTTTTGTCCCTAAAAATGTGAAGGATGTTTATCTACTACACATTTTGTCCAAAATGGAAGACACGGGTGTTCGATCCGCCATGATTTTTGTTTCAACATGCAGGTACAACTTATTTCATGTCTTGATTGTCTCCTAGTTTTTGAGTAATGCCTTAAGTGTTTGTGATTGCATTGCATACACTGGTCACACCTGCCAAGAATAATTTCTAATCAATTTTATTAATATTGTATAACATGAAGGAAAAAAACAAATATATATATATATACACACATTAGTGGTTATGCATTCACTGTTTTGTATATGTATTGTAAAATTAAATTGTTCAGTCTTGCTACCCACCTTGGTGTAGTCTTGCAGACTTGCAGTGTGAGTGGGTTTGCATACAAGATAAGGATAATACATAATAAATTATTCAATCTTGCTACCCAAACCTTTGCCACTGGCTGGGGTGGGGGCGGATAACATTTTTCATTGCACCATGTCACAACCTCTTATTACGTAGCCTCTCATAAAACCCACATGAGACCAAATTCTATCAAACGTAAATGTGATCGTAATATCAGAAGCACCTAAGAATATTCTCAAGATTGCCTAATCAAGTAGCAAGTAAATAAACAATTTTCTTGGTGCAAAGAGAGAGAAAGTGAGACAATGGCTTAGCCATCTTGCATCAACTCGTTTATATTTTCTTTATTGGCACTCATTTAGTTGGCCTGGAAAATTACCATTTATTTTTAGGATAAATCACCAATAGGTCTTACTTTTGGGACTTGTTACCCATTAAGTCCTATTGATGTCAAGTGATAAATTTATCAGTCTCTTATTTTTATGAATAAATTTACATTGATAAATTTGTCATTAGAACCTGTAGGTAAATAAGTTTAGTTAATAGGACTAATTGGTAAGTCCTCCTTATTTTTGTACTGTTTGAGCAGGAGTTGTCACCATCTAAGTTTATTACTTGAAGAGCTTGATTTGGAAGCTGCAGCATTGCATTCATTCAAATCCCAGTCTCTGAGGCTTGCTGCACTGCATAGATTCAAATCTGGACGAGTTCCTGTATTGCTTGCAACTGATGTTGCCAGTCGTGGTTTGGATATTCCTACAGTTGATCTTGTTATCAATTATGACATCCCAAGGTTATAATTTGTAGCCAATCTTTATTCTTTTTAATTTTTGTTTAATATTTCTTTCAGTAAAATGTATTCATTACTGCAGATACCCGAGGGACTATGTTCATCGTGTTGGGCGTACTGCAAGAGCAGGCAGAGGAGGGCTGGCAGTGAGCCTTGTTACCCAGGTAAGAAGTAAAATTCCGTTTGATGTAATTTTGAAGTTGTAATAAAATTTTTTTTTTTTGTGCTTCAGTATTACCAATTGTTACTGCATCAAAAATGGCAACAGTATGTAAAATTCAACTGTATAATTTGACTTGCAAATGACTTATTATTATATTTGAGTAGCCTCCTTTACATTGGCACTACCTGTATGGAATGATGTTAATTTATTTGTTGTGACAATGTCATAACAAACAGACAAAAAAATACTAAATGATGCAGTCATTCTATGAATGAGAAATAAAATGAATTGATCGAAAATTGTGCCAGTATGTGGTGACTCTCTATTTCTCTAGTATTGCATAATAATACATCTAGAGTTCCTTTTGGACATCTTCGTGTATCTAGTTCAGAAATATTAGGAACTATAATTATTTTTTCAATTTGCTCACTCTGTTGATTGTTTTGCAGAATGATGTAGATCTTATCCATGAAATAGAAGCTGTTCTTGGAAAACAATTGGACAAATTTGAATATAATGAGAATGAGGTGCTTGCTGATATTACAATGGTAAGACTTTTGGGATATACTTATTTAATCATTTTAACAGTAAAGTTTACAACGAATTATTGGTTGCTAGTTTAACTACTTTCATTTACAATGCCATTCATCACTTTAGATGCGTCTTAACAGCATAAAGCTTTTGCAGGGATTTTTTTATTTTATTTCTGATTAATAAATGGGTCTAGAGTTACTTATTGTCACCTTCATCAAATTTTACTTTTTGAAAGAAGGCAGGATCATTATATGCTTATTTTACCCTGTTTTTCATTTGCTCGCGAGGTTGTCCGGGGCTTCACCCTGCTAATCCCATGCCCTGGGTGTATGTAGTCCCCTTGTACCACATGCACTAGGTAATTATATGGCCTAATAAGCCCTAGGGTACCCTCAAGAGGGAGTGGCGGAATGAAATAACCATTAGTGTACTCCTTGAGGTTTGAATTCATGACTGCCATGTACTTATTTTACTTATTATTTTCAATCTCCTTCACTAGACAACCAAATAAAGGTCGAAATTTAGTATTTTTCTGAAATGTTCAACCTCTGCATAACTGGAGTGGTTTAGGAGAAATACTAATTTTTTTCCCATCATTTTCATATTGAAAAAAAAGTTGTGTTTAATGATGGAGTACAGTATCCAAGCAAATTTACGCTACAAAATTGCCTAAGAGCTGATGGATCCTATGTGTCTAGTTCGGATATTGTCTCACTGCACCCAAATCCTTCTTGATGAATAAAACAGATCCAAAGTTCGGTATTTGATCATGCTGAACAGGGAAACAACTCTTTTTTGTTGGGCTTGGGATTGATTATTGATGAGGCTCAAACCTTGAAAAACTACTAAAATGCCTGCTGCTCCCACTTGGACCTAAGGGCCACTGGTTCATACCTTGAAAAACTACTCTCTCTCTACGTTCAGGCTTCCATGGAACTCGAGCAGGGTGGTAGAGTAGATATATGTCTCAGTATGGTAGCTGTTATCATCATTTAGTTGTCTGCATAAAAGTAGAAATATCTAGGGGGGTCAGGATTTGTCAGTGCATGTACCTGTAACTGTTTGTGCTCCATTAAACCTGTGGAGAACTATTTTTCTTGATTTTGCATGCAATTCACAGGTTTACAAGGCCAGACGTGTGGCAGCAATGAAGATGATGGATGATGGGTTTGAGGAGAAAGCAAAAGCACGGAAAGAGCAGAAACTGAAGACATTAGCAGAGAAAGGGCTACTGAAGAAGAGGAGTAAAAAGAGAAAAAGAGGAAGAGCTGCTGAATAGTGGGGAGATTGAAAAACTCTTACTCTACCACTGACTCTCTAGTGTGAGTGTGAGTGGATGGGGGTGTGTAAGCTGCAAGCAGCTCTCAAGAATTATTCAATGACAAGGTCATAATTTATAGCCCTCTCTCTCCAGAATGCCAATTTTCTGCATGCATTGAGGCTGCTTCTTGTGTAATTTTGCTCAGTTCCAATTTTGTTTTTGTTTTTTTGGTTTTAACCTAACTGTTCTTTGGAGAATAATTAAATGAAGATACATGAACCTTTTTTTTTTCTTTTTTTTTTTTTTGTAGATTTAAGAAAAGATGTGTATGCAGAGTATACTTGTTTCCTTCACGAAAATCTGAATACTGTGGGGTTGCTGCTTGCCCGTCATTGCAGTTTCTTGTTAGGACTAGTCTGGACATTATTTTCTTTTTTTTTTTATAAATTTGAATTTTAGAAATGCTACGTATAAAATTAAAAAAAAAAAAATGTAAGTACTCATAATCTGAATTTATGGTGTAGACTTGGTGCGTGGAAGATCACACATTAAAATTTTGATCTACACATTTTAAATTTTGAGTATTTTTGAAAACATTTTTTGAATACAGTAAGCATTGCTGAGACTGGAGATCATTGAGAGATAAAAAGCGGCACAATTGCACGTAGCTATGCGGAGATGCTTTCCACTATATGCTAAACTTCACCATATCTAGCGCACCTTGGTCCACAACCTTAACCTAGTTGCAACGGTGGAGATGTGGAGATGCTTTCCCCTGTATGCCAAACTTCATGTCTAGTGCACCTTGGTCCACAACCATAGCCTAGTTCAGTTGCAACCGCAACCCTGTCAAACGTCGTAGTTCCAGCAGCATATGAGCATCATCATCTCCATCATGGATCTAATTTGGCAAACCAACAATACTGTGTATCCAACAAAACCAAGCATACAATGGGATTTTTTTATTTTTTTTTCTTCTTCAATGGATGGATGGCATAACAGGGAAATCATCAAATCCTTTTGTGGCATTAAAACCACGAGAAAGAAAACAAACAAACAAAGAAACCTGATACAATTGCCACAACATTTGACTTTGGTTCTGAAAACACAATTACAGACTAAACTACCACTATCACTTCCAACGGATGAGATAAAGTACAGATATATGTCTCCGCCAGTCACAGCCAACACATTCTCTCTATTCACTTTGTTGTTGCTGGGTTTGTTGTTGGTGAGTCTGAGGCCATGGCATGAATGCCATGGGGGGCTGAGGTTGTTGACCAGCGTACAGTGCTGCTTGATCAACTGGCTTTCCCATAATTATCCCTGTCGGTCCCACTGGATGCTGTGGCGGTACATAGTAGTACGGAATAGAATCAGCTGGAGAACCTACCATAGGGATACTGGCCTTGGTGACCCCAAGTCCCTCTTCTTTCAACTCATCTCTTGGTATAATGTCAACTAAGAAATCAAAGACATCAGTCCTTGAAATGGCAGCAGCAATATCGTTTTTCTGAAGGGTCCTCCTTTTATTCTCTTCCGTGTTGATCCAAGAGCGCAAAGTCAACTCCAAGATGAACATCTCACATGCCTTTGCGAATATGACTGGAGCCTCCGCTGAAATCATTCTAACATCCTCATCAGCTTTCATTATTTTCTTGATACGAGCAAGTGGAAGGCTGTGATTTTTGAAGTCAGCCGTTCTCTCAATTTCTTGCATTTGGTTGGTCCAGAATACTTGAAGTTGCTGTTGTTGCTGCTGCTGCTGTTGGTGGTGGACGTTCTGGGCTTGTTGATAGGCAAGCTGGTGCTGAGAAGTAGAAAAGGTGGCAGGAGGCTCAGTTGAAGAATGTAAAGCAACAGTGGATGAGCCTGACACCACCACAGGTGCAGTATGGTAGGGTAGAGAAGCATAGGCCATTTGACCTGAACCTGCTACAACTCCCACAACCGGCAGCTGGTGCTGAGTCTGTTCTGGTTGATCCATGTCCCAATTATATCAGTATCTATTGCCCCTTCTTACAATTATCTCCTCATCAAAACCCTGAAAAGAGAAAACAGACTGTTCAGAGTCATAGTTAACCTTTTTCTTAGGTAATATTGAATCACCTAAGTATGCAAACAAGCTAAAACTAAAAAGAAAAAAAGTAATTCTTTTCCAGAGTGCAAAGTATAAACAAGTTAAACTCACATTCCATGCACCGAAAAAACCTAGGTAAGCTCTTAGGCCACACAGACACACCAAAGAAGAAAAGAGAGAGGAAGCAATCACATGAACAAACTACTTTTTTCCACTATGAGGACTAAAAATTTAAATTAGATGTCTGCTTTCTTGCTTTTTAGAGCATCTCTAATGCTTAAGAAACCTCGATCCAATTCACTTCAACCAGTTGCTTCAACAATCTTCAGTTTTAGTATGTCTTCCTCATATAAATGTATGCCCAACTGATGTAAGTCAACATAATTGTAACTAATTTATTTTCACAGCAGAAGTGGGAGAAAACACTGCATGGAGGCCACACCACTAATTCTTCCTGCTTTATTTTTGCACTCTCACTTTCCTTCTTAATTTGTTGTCTAGCAATTAAAGATCCTCCCCATTTGCAAAGATACTGATCTTCTGTTAAGTGACTCACTCTAAAAGTTTCAAGCTCTGAAAAAAAAACAAAAACAAAAAAATAACGTGCTCTAACTATCAAAAATTGACATGTAAGATAATAATAGCACAACGGTTATAACTGTGCTTCTATTACAAGCAAATGTGCCATGGATTCAACTTTCATATTAGATGCATGAAAAATGAAAGGGGAAAAGAATAAATGAATGGGAGCCATAGAGAAAAACTGCCTACTGCTACATAGTAGGATTTTTAAAATCTAGGGAGGGCCACCGCCCCCTTTAGTATAGACATGGTTCCGCCACTATCTGTGGATGTCTGTCTGGAGTGCATATACATGCATTATGTGCGTGCATATTCTTGTGTATATGCGTCTATGTATGTGTCCAGTGCCTGAGCACATGAGACCTGCGACTTTATTTGAAAAAATGCCCCAAGGAGAGAGACTACAGAGAAATCCTTGACACTTTATACGTGTCAGAAGGTAATTCATTCTATTTGACAATCCATGCACAAATTTTGCACTCAATACAACATTTGAAAATGCCAAAAATATTTTCACGTTGAAACAAACAGAGCATATGACATCGTTCTTAAAAATTAGGAAAGTATCATGATGCTCGATTTTAGAAATATTTGAAATCATGCCTCCAAACCAATTATTTGAAAACCTCCCTCTGTGTGACTTTTATTGTAATGACAACTAATCTTGAAAAAGTACATCATATAAACTGTAGTTCATATTTTCATATGTATATCATAGAGGGTGGTGTGGTGGCTCTAGCTAATTTTTGTGTTCTTACACAAGCGCTGATCCGTTGGTGACGAAACTGGTCCTTGAACTTGGGGAAAACAAAACATGTGGTGTGGTTCTCGTCTACATCACAATAGACTCGTGCGCAGGACATGCATGCGAATAATATTAATATCAAAAGATAGATCCACACTCCACTGCTAAGTGAGAGTTTAGAGAGACCTTGACAAAAATCTCTGATTTTTTTTTTTTTTTTTTTTTACTTGTTGACCTCAGAATCATCAACAATTTGACATCGTTGAAGGGTAAACCTAAAAATGATATAACGATCTGTATTCACCCAAAAAAAATATAACGATCAGCATAATTCTATCTATCTGTCTATCTTAACGAAGAAATAAAAGAAAACATACAAGAGAGCAGCAAATTGGAGAATCATTTTTAAATAACCAATCAGAAATTTAACTGAAGAAACTGAACAACTCCCAAAACCTCAACATGTGGCACAAATTTATAAAATAAAAAAAAGGTTGCAAGAATCAATTTACCCATCACCATCACCATCATCTTCTTCTTCTTCTTAGCTGAATCAGGTTGAAGAGTTATTAGATCTCGCAACCTAAACCCTAAGAGAGACAGTTACAGAGGAGGAACACAGAAATTGGCCTTCGGAGTCGGGGGAGAGACCGAGCGAGAGCGAGAGCGAGAGTGAGTGACAGAGACAGTGCGTGTGTGGTGGTGGGTAATGGTGCCTGAGCCACGTGGGTGTGCCGTGTTTTTGAGAAAAATTACTGACTGGTCCCAGGACGTCCATGTCCTCCTAAATCACGATTCATTGTCATGTCTATGTCTATGTTTTTTTCGTTTTATTTATTTTGTTTCTTATTTTTATTTATTTATTTATTTATTTATGTTTCTTAATCACTCCATATAAATTTATAAATATTATTCATTTATTAATTATAATACTATACTATTCCACACCATCATATGAATCTCTTTTATTTACCAATTATAATATTATACTATTACACACTATGTGATGATACTTCATAACTAATCAATAACTTCTCTGCTTTTAGAATCTCAAGTCGTAAGAATGGACTCAGATTCTTCAAGCCTGGCTCAAAAGAAGAAGAAGCTCAACCTAGTTCATAAGTTAAATTAATACTGGTCTGATGAAGATGAGTCCATACAACACAACATAATGCGTGAAGGAATTGTGTCATAATCATAATCATTGACATGGGTAGAACCATAAAAACTACAGCCCACCATGAACAGCTCAAGTCCACCACTTAGGATCCAATTACATAACCCAACTGATAAGACCCAGCACCATCTGGAAGTCAACATGGTATGAAGGACCAATGATATTCAAACACATGGCAGGTAAAGGGCAAGCCACATCAGCAGACAAAAATCTGCAAAGTTATTGCCACTGCACATCGCCATGAATGCAGCCCATCACAGCATTTATTACGACAACACCTCTCCGTCGGAACAGCACGCCCTCACCCTGAACAAGGTAAGCTACAGTATAGACTTTTGGCCAAGATGACAGGTCGGAAAGGACAACGAAATGATAGCCAAAGGATATAAACAAACGTTGAAGACAAGAAGAAGATTAAGCTTTTTATCTCTAATTCATCTCTACTCTCTAACTTGCTCGTCAAAGGGTTCACTAGAGGACTCCCCGTTCCCCGTTGAACTCGTGTGTAGGTTCTCTAGTGGGTTTGATTATTTGGATTCCGATTCGAGAAGTGTGGATCAGTCCGACCTGCTCTGCTTGGAACCTGTTACATCATCACTGTATCATCAGTTAGCGCTGTCTGTGGGAATGCCTAGCTCCGCGCGCCAGTTGTGCTCATTGCCGCCAGAGACCCTGTCCCAATAACCCTTTCTTACTACCCATCAAAGTGTATGGTCACAACTAAATCCATGGCTTCTCACTATAACGCTCCCGACCACCAAGCCGACTCCCCCAATCCAAACAACCCACTGCAGTATTTCATCGAGCTTACCAACAGCATTAACCGCATGGCCGAGAAAAACCAAGCCCTGATAAACGCCCTACTCCAAAGGAACTTTCTTATACCCCCTCCACCACCTCCCGATATTCCGCCGAACCAAGAACGAGCCCCGAGCCATACTATCCCGCAGCCCTATCCACCCAACTTGGAAGGCTTGCAACCTCCTCCTCCTAATATGAATCCACCACCCCGGCCCTCACATCCATCGCTCCTGGTACCAGACCCTGAAGGGGAAGCCAGTAGCGTCCAACCTCCGCTACCTTCCGGTGGTGATAACATTCCTCTCTAGGATGCAGAACTTCGAGCCATGAAGCTCCAACTCCAAGGGGTCATGCAGAACATCCAACATAAATCCTCTACCACAGCAAATTCACCATTTGTCGCCTTCATCCGGGGCAAACCTCTACCCCCCAAGTTCAAAATGCCCACCATCGACTCTTTTGACGATACGACGGACCCAGTCGACCATCTGGAGACTTACAGAACCCTTATGATCCTCCATGCATTCTCTGACGAGATCATGTATCGAGCTTTCCCCGTGACACTAAAGGGATCGGCTCGGTTGTGGTTTAGCCAGTTACCAGCAGACTCCGTCTCCACTTTCTAACATCTCATTGACTCCTTCCTCAGCCATTTTATTGGAGCCCAGCACCAACGTCGTCCGGCAACCCAACTTCTCAACATCCGCCAGACCGAGGGGGAGTCCCTGCGCAGTTTCGTTACCCGCTTCAACACCAAAGCCTTGCAGGTGGCGAAAAACGATGATAAGGTCATCCTTACGGCTTTCATGGCCGATCTACGGTCGTCTGATTTCCTCTTCTCCATCTCTAAAAACCCCCCACCTCCATGGCAGTCCTACTCTCCAAAGCCCAAAAATACATGAACGCAGAAGATTCCCTAGCCGCTCGCCAGTATTGTGAGCTAGCCATACTATCCCGCAGCCCTATCCACCCAACTTGGAAGGCTTGCAACCTCCTCCTCCTAATATGAATCCACCACCTCGGCCCTCACATCCATCGCTCCTGGCACCAGACCCTGAAGGGGAGGCCAGTAGCGTCCAACCTCCGCTACCTTCCGGTGGTGATAACATTCCTCTCTGGGATGCAGAACTTCGAGCCATGAAGCTCCAACTCCAAGGGGTCATGCAGAACATCCAACATAAACCCTCTACCACAGCAAATTCACCATTTGTCGCCTTCATCCGGGGCAAACCTCTACCCCCCAAGTTCAAAATGCCCACCATCGACTCTTTTGACGATACGACGGACCCAGTCGACCATCTGGAGACTTACAGAACCCTTATGATCCTCCATGCATTCTCTGACGAGATCATGTATCGAGCTTTTCCCGTGACACTAAAAGGATCGGCTCGGTTGTGGTTTAGCCAGTTACCAGCAGACTCCGTCTCCACTTTCTAACATCTCATTGACTCCTTCCTCAGCCATTTTATTGGAGCCCAGCACCAACGTCGTCCGGCAACCCAACTTCTCAACATCCGCCAGACCGAGGGGGAGTCCCTGCGCAGTTTCGTTACCCGCTTCAACACCAAAGCCTTGCAGGTGGCAGAAAATGATGATAAGGTCATCCTTACGGCTTTCATGGCCGATCTACGGTCGTCTGATTTCCTCTTCTCCATCTCTAAAAACCCTCCATCTCCATGGCAGTCCTACTCTCCAAAGCCCAAAAATACATGAATGCAGAAGATTCCCTAGCCGCTCGCCAAAACCCTACAACTAAAAACCTGACCTCCCGAGAAAAGCGAAAAGAACCAGAAGCCAGAAATAACCAGTACAATAACCAAACACCGCATTATACAGACCGATCCCCCTGAGCCGACCGGTTCGAGCGGTACACACCCCTCAACTCCTCAATGGAGCAAGTCCTTAACCAAATCCAGTGGGGTTACCCCCTCAAATGGCCCCAACCATCACGAACCCCCTCCAGTTGGAAAGACCAGTCTAAATATTGTCGTTTCCACCAAGACCACGGCCATAACGCCGATGAGTGTATCAACCTCAAAGATCAGGTCGAGACTTTCATACGTCAGAGATGTCTTAGCCAGTTCATGGACACCCGCCCTCAGCAGAGGCAAAGGAATGAGCCCCCTAGAAATAACCGCCGGTGCACCCTCCCGGCAGCTAGCCCAACCTAACCCAGGCCATGATCGCCCTCCACAGCAGCCTCGACCGCAAGGTAATCCCCCCCACCTGTTGGAGAAATCAAAGTTATTTCACGCGGCCTTTCTTGTGGGGGACCATTCCGCTCGGTTCAGAAAGCAGAGCTCAGAAAGATAAGGTAGGGCTTAGTACAAAGCAATTGCCACGGTGGACTGACCCTTCAAACAGCGCAGGCAGAAGAACGAGCCTATCACCTTCACGGACGCCGACTGCGCAGGCATCCGCTACCCTCATGATGATCCTCTCGTCATTTCTGCCTTCCTCTCCAACTACAAGGTCAGACGAGTTCTCATCGACAACGGCAGTTCTTCAGACATCATTTTCCTCAACTATTTTCGCCAGCTCAAGATTGGGGAGGAAAGTCTTTCTTCTCTCCAGACCCCTTTAGTCGATTTTACTAGTGACCGAGTGACCTCCATCGGCTCCATCGATCTTCCTATCACACTCGGCGAGTACCCGCGGCAGACTACAAAGTTGCTCACCTTCCTTGTTATCGACTGCCCCTCCGCCTACAATATCATCCTTGGCCGCACCGCCCTAAACGCTTTTCAAGTTATCACATCAACTTACCACCTTGCCATTAAATTTCCCACCGATTTGGGGGTTGGGACAGTGAGGGAAGAGCAGACAGTTGCCAGGGAGTGTTATGTCGCCTCACTCAAAGAAGTCAAGCTGAAGGAGGCAATGATCATTGAGGGGCTTGACGTTCGAGATAAGGACGAGCTGGTCAGAGGGGAACCTGTGGAGGAGCTCGTTGAGGTCCCCATCGACCCCGCTAACTCGACCAAAACTGCCAAAATTGGCAGCCAACTATCCCCCCAAGTAAAGGCCGACCTTACTGTCCTCCTGATCGAGCACAATGATGTATTTGCCTGGACTCACTCGAACAGGCCGGGTATTGACCCCTCATTCATAACGCACCGCCTCAGCATTGAACCCCATTTCCGACCTTACCGCCAGAAGCAGCGCATCTTTCATCCGAAGCACAACACTCTCATTGCCGCAAAGGTCGACAAGCTCCTTGAGGCACAATTCATCAAAAACGTGGACTACCCTAGATGGTTGTCAAACGTCGTCCTGGTCCGTAAGAACAATGGTAAATGATGACTCTGTGTCGACTACTCTGACCTCAACCGAGCTTGCCCAAAGACAGCTATCCTCTCCCCCGCATAGATCTACTGGTTGACGCTACGGCCAGTCATCAAATGCTCAGCTTCATGAATGCCTTCTCTGGATACAACCAAATTCTGATGCACCCGTCTGATCGTGAACACACCTCCTTCATTACAGATCGAGGTATCTACCATTACCGTGTGATGCCATTTGGGCTGAAAAATGCTGGGGCCACCTACCAACGGTTGGTCAATGCTGTTTCCCATCATCAAATAAGTCGGAATATGGAAGTATATGTTGACGACATGCTTGCCAAGAGCAAACTCTCCGCTGATCACCTGACCGACCTGCGAGAGACCTTCACCACCTTACGAAAGTACCAAACGAAGCTCAACCCGGAAAAGTGCGCCTTCGGCGTAGGATTTGGGAAGTTTTTGGGTTTCATGGTCAGT